CCGCTCGCCAACGATGAATATTATAATCCTCGAAACTTTCGCCCACGATCCTCCCTTCATCCACGCGACGTGATTCCCGTAAATTCTGATAATTAAAGCACAGCGAATCGAACGAGATGAGCGAGAAGAGGAGGAGGAGGAGGAGGTTAAATGAATGAATAATAAACGATTGAATGAAAAACGATCGTATAACACGAATATAACAGGAATATAGAAGTAGCAAACATTTTCGAATTTATTTCGTTAATTTCGTATCCTGCAGGTTTTTCCCTCGCTCTTGTTTTCCGTTGGCTTCTTCTTTTTCTCAATGGAACGTTACGAGGCAAGCAATACGTTACTCACCGCTTGAAAAATACATAGAAACTCGGGTCACAAGGGTTTTTATGATAATTATGGAAAAAAGAATGGGAATGGAAACAATAAGGGGCGGAATCAAAGGGGATGTCGCGCACGCTTTGTAACGCGGTGAATGGCGAACCTCCTCTTTTCGCCGGGGTTGTTTAATAAAAATTGGAAAAATCACGTATTATATTTGATCGCGGTAGATTTAATAAACGTTGCAATTACATTTGCGGCGCGCATTCCTTTTTTTTTTTTTTTACTCTCGACATTTCGAACATAGGTCGCCATCCTTTGATGCAACCCGGTTTTCATATTTTTACATCGCTTTAACCATTCGATTCGGTGGCCGCTTTGATGGTAACGAATCTGAATCGCGATACAGTTCCACGATTTCCTCCGCGGGATACGCGTTTGTGTCGCGTCGAAACGGCCGTGTTTTCACTCGGAGAAGGTATATGGAAAATTAGCTAGTCGGGACATCAAGACGAGACTCGTCCCCCCGATACTTGAAATACGCAATTGTGCGAGTATCGATAAATTCGTTCGTGCATCGTACGCACGCTATATCCCTTATCCTTCTCTTTTTCCATAAACGTTTCGCCTTTTCCCCGCCATGGGCTTGACTTTAATTCGTTACGTTTCGCGATCCTGTAAAAATATCGTTCGTTAGTTTAATTGAATTTCGATCCTCCGTTCGCTTTCTTTTTTTACTTTTTCCATCGAGTATCGAAATGAAATTTAAAAAACGCGTTCGATAATCAAAAAGGGGAGAGAGGGAGGATAGTTCGTCGATATTTATGATGTATAATGAATGTGGGAAATTAATAGTAGGTCCGAGGAGCGAATAGAACGTGAAAAATAGAAAACAGAGGGAGACAGAGGGGAGGGAAGAAATATAGTGATTCTTCTTTTGGTGCACGAAACGAGTATGGAGGTTCGGGGTCGAATACAAAGCGGAACTATCGCTCTCAAATCTCGGAGCGTGTATTGCGGGGAATATTCCCTAACACAGAGACGAAAGCCCTGGTTAAAAAGTTGGGATCTCGATATAATAGGGTCATTATCTGCGGCAAAAACCAAGCCATTTTTATCCGAATTAAGATACTTACTTACGAAATAATCCGCCTGTTTTAATATCCTCTCGAGGAATAGTTTTTTCTTGACCGACGATTTTCATTACGGTTATAAAAATCGTAGATTTTTCCTTCTTCTCGGTGTCGATGGATTATTATAAAAATAATACTCATTTCTCAACGAGACCTGAGAAACTTTCATCCCGCAGCTCGTGAATCGTTTTAAACGTTCACAATATTTTTTCGACTCGTTCCTTTAATCGTCGAATCGAATAAGAACTCTGCCTATTATATTTAAAGAAATGCAAAAAGAAAAATCGCCACTCTAAAAAAATTACTTCTCCATTTTCCACGTATCGCGATTCATCGATTGATTTGATCAATTAACCAGAAGCTTGGATAGAATTTTTTCCA